TTTGTTTTAGAATAATTTAGATTTACCGTAAAGTTGCAAAGTTGCAATAAAGTTACACAGAGTTGTCACATAGCTCACCCATCCACACTGTCCCTTATTATTAGCATCTTGCATTAATATGATGTGTTATTTACAATTAATGAACCAGATTGATATATTGCTACTAACTAAAATCCATATGTTCTATTCAGATTTCCTTAATTTTTACCTAATGTTCTTTTTTCTGTCCCAGGATCCCGTCCAGTATACCACATTACGTTAAGTTGTCCTGTCTCCCCTTAGGCTCCTCTTAACTGTGAAATTGTCTGAGACTTTTCTTGATTTTGATGATCTTGACAGTTTTGAGGACTACTGGTCAGTATTTTGTAGAATATTCCTCAATTAGGATTTGTTTGATGTTTTTCTGTGATTAGACTGGGGTTGTGGGTTTTTAGGAGAAAGATCAGAGAAATAGAGTGACATTTTTGTCACATCATATCAAGAGTATAGACTATCAACATAACATCACTTTTGATGTTAACCTTGATCACCTGGCTGAACTAGTGTTTGTCAGGTATCTCCAATGTTAAGTTAGTCTATTTTCCCCCTTTTCACACTGTGTTCTTTGGAAAGAAGTCAACGTGCATGGTCCACACTTAAGAGATGGGAGTTATGTTAAGTGAGAAGTTAAGGTAAGGAGTGGGGAGTATCTACTTAAATTATTGGAATTCTTCACAGAGCTCTCCCATTTTTTAAATTTAATCAATCGTTTATATTGGTATGGACTCAAGGATATTTATGTTGTCCTTTGGGTCATAATCCAATACTAGCGTATTTGTGCTGTTCCTCAGATTAGTCTAGCTCTGGGCATTGGGAGCTCTTTTGGCTGGCTCCTGTGTCCCTCCTTGACATACCCCTTTTATTTACTTATGTATTTGTTTGTTTGTTTGTTTTGGGGGCACTTCCTTGCTTTCTGGCACTACAAGATGATCCAGGCTCGTAGAATATTTTTCTTGTCCCAGTCCTAGAATCATCCATTTCTGTAAGAAACTCTGGTTCTTTTTATTGTGAACAGTATTAGAGATCAACATCTGTGTGCTAGGTGTGCTGGTTGCTACTAGGGTGTTGTTGCTTTTAGGCCATTTCAGCTGACAGAGCAAGGAAATATATGTGTGTATATTAACTGATGTATGTAAACATATTTATATATATTTCTATATGTATCCATCTATGTTAAACTACTGTGTAGCTTTGTCAGACTGTCTTCATTCGCTTACAGTATTCATTTAAGATTCATCCATGTCTTTGCATGGCTCATTCCTTTGTCCACTGAATAGTATGGAGAAGGGTTTTATATTTTGAATTCCACAGCACATAACTGCATAGGTATCCATTTGACATTTTGTTCTCTCAAGTTCTCTGGTCAGACAGAGGCTTTTTCTGCCATATCCCTATGCAGCACTCCAACTGTTCTCCTGTAGTCATGAATAGTTTAGCTCTCTTCCCCAAACTTGCATGCCTGCTCAAGAAAGAACAAGGAGCTCTTAAGCTTTTAGCTCCCACCCAAACAGCTTCTTAGACTTGACCTTCCTAATAACACCTACGTTACAGTTCTTTATGCTCCTAGTTAACATTCTTCCCCCCACCCCCCACCAACATCATCACTTCACCTCTCTTTGTATGGTCTTTTACATTATGAACTGTATCTTTATCTCTTTATTCTGCAACAATGCTGTGCCTAGCACCTAGTAGGTATTCAATAAATATTCATTGAAGAGATAAATAAATGATTTGGTACAACGTAAGAGCCAGATTGCAGACAAACTGATGGAAACTGAAACACATGCTATAGTCCATCCACTTGAGGAGTATAGTTCTTTGCTGTGCACCCTTTTCTTTTTTCACTATTTGAAGGCCACTTTCAAGAAATGGCCTGAAATCTGAGATATATTCGTTTTGTATAGAACACATGGTGTTTATAGAAGCATTATGAAATCCTGTTATGCTAATGAACCTCGATAAAGTGTGTCAAAGGTTTTCAGCATTAGCCCAGAACATCAGCATCACTACAAAGAGCTGAAATATATTGTGTGAAATTTCTCATTAAATGTGCATGGCTAAATTTGGGGAATTGGCTAAGCAGATTAGAGTTATTATCATCTATATTATTAGTAAAAGGAGCTGATGTGGCTGTTTATTGAGTCATTAGCTTAAAAAAGTCTTTAACGTTGGTATAAAATTTAAATACTGGGCCTCCAAGCAAAATATTCTAGAAGGGCCTTCATTTCACATACTTGAAGGTCCAAGGTACTTTTGGTAACCACAGTTCTATCTGTTAAATCTCACATGTTTGCAGTCATCCTTCACATACCCAGTGATTTGTATCAGAAATGATGTCTTAAGAGTCTTGTTGACCTTTCAGAGTCAGGAATTCTCCATTTGAGGGATTTATCCTTTTCTGGGAAGATTTTTTGAAAGCACAAAAATGTGTATGAGTAGAATATTACACAAATATCTTTGGATAAGTTTTAAAGGAGGATACTCCATCTTTTTTGGTTTCTGTTGTAAGGGAGGTACACATATTTGCAACATTTGAAACGGCTGAACTCTTTTTATATCTTGTAGTTTTTCTGGACCTTTCCATTTATAACATTCAGGTTGCAGAAATGACAAAGAAGCTGCTGCTATAAGATAGTGATTTAGCTGGAGTGGTTGGTGAATCACTTCAGGTTAGGTGACCTTTGTTTCTTAGGCGTGAGAATCATTAACCTCTCTAAGTAGGTGCCAGGATTTAGGAAACAAATGAAAAACAGAGGTAAAATGGAAATGGTCTATCCAAGGCCTCCCATAAGACTTTGCTTCTCAAAACAAATGAAGATAAGATTGCTTGGCATACAGATGAGAACTTTCCAGCATTACATGTATGCGTAAAATTCCACATGTGTGAACAGTTTTCACAATTTCAAAGATTTGGATTGCTTGTATGCTGCATTTAGTTGAAATGAAAATCCAACTCTGTAGTCTTTATCTTACCCCAATAATATGATAATTTCATCCTCATGGTCTGTAAAAGTTAATGTCATAATTTGAGACGAACTTACTAGTAGAGAGATGCTTGGGAAAAATTGGTTCAATGTTTTTCTTAACTGATTGTGTTTTCAGGATGAAAATGAAGAAACTGTGAATAAGAGTTGCCAAGAAGATCGGTGTGTTCCACTTGTACCTATAATATTGATTGATTGGGTATTTCCCTCAGGGCATTCTATTTTAAAAAACAGACACATAGCTTCTGAAAAAATGTTAGTAGTAGAAGCTACTGCTTTGGGTTCCTGTGTTAACGGAAACAGATTGCCTGATTTCTACATTGGCAATCCATATTTTTTTCTGTATTACATATTGAATAAAAGGGAGCTGCTAATTTACAAACTATTCAAATATGTTTCTTTCTGCACTGGTAAATTCTTTGAAGTTTTCCAGAGTTGGAAAATGTGGGGTGGCCCATTCTATATTTTCAAAACTGGTGGCTGGTTTTCCATCCTAGGTAAATATGTATGACTCCTCACAATATTTCTGGTGCATCACATATGTCACACATTTTACAGGTTTCATGGCTCTTTCATATATTATTTCACATTCACTTTACAACACTTCTACAAGATAAATAGCAGAGACATCACTCTAATGATTTATAGATGATGATGAGGCTCGGAAAATTTCAGTAGGTTTTCAATAGTCACAAAGCTAGGACATGGTGGAGTCGGAATCAGAACTTTGGTCTTCAGATTTGAGCCCAGGAAACTCCACAAGTTCAGAGCATTATTGCTTTGGCCAGGAGTATTGCAATATGATAGAAATTATATATTTTGCAATTTATGCTCTGGTGGTACCAGATAGCACTTTATACTTCTCATTTTTATCCCTGTGACCTCTTGATAGAAGGAGATCTCATTGCCATTCTTCCCTCTGATTTCTTTAATAATTAATTTTATTTTCCAACAAGAATTTTAAGACCAGATCTAAATATCATAATTGACACATTAACATGACCCACTTTGTGTCCCTTTTCCAGTGTGGATACTCATGAATGTGATTTAATGTAACTTTCAAAACAGTGAGTTTTATTTTTTGCAGTTTCTGTGACTGAGTTTACACAGTTATATTCAGTCAAAGAGTGGGCTATCTCCTAAAAGTGCTGTCTCTGGCAAAGGAAGAACACTAACCATTGTAGTGTTAACAGTGAGAGAGAGGAGAGTGTTGATTCTTCCTGTCATCTTTTGCCCAGCAGAGCTCAATGCACGTCTTTTACTCAGAGTTGATGATTTTGTCTGGTCGTGAGATGGTTTGGCAACGGAGCATGATGCTAGGAAAAGGAAGGAAATGTTTAAGGAAACTGATTTTTCTACTGATACCTGGGTTTCTTAAGACATATCCCTTTAACTTATCTCTCTTTTGTTCTTCTCCATATACAAATAAGTCCTGATATCTTCTTATTGATATTGGCCCTTTAGAGCCACTTGACAGAGTATCTAGTCAAAATAGTATGTTTCCACTGTTCAGAACCTAGCAGAAACTCAAGAAATGTTTTTTTCTCCTCAGTGCTTTTGAAGTTTTAAGCCTACTGTGTGTAAAGTAGTGAATCATGTTGTTTTGATGTTTAAAAAAATTATGAATATAATCATGAAAATTTAAATTTTCTCTGCAGAATCCCATATTTTAACTGATTTGAAGCTATTTCCCTTTTTTGTAACATGTGTGATTAGGAAGAGAGAAAAAAGAAAAGTCAGTATTCAGGAAAAAATGTGTATTGACTTTCATTGAAGCATTGAAGTGGTACCCAATAACATTTGGAAAGTCTTAGAACCTAGTAATGTTCTCAAGAAAACTCAAGATATTGAATACATAATATTTAAGAAACCTGTTTCACATTAGTTCTCTATGTCTGTGCAAAATGAAAATAAAATATGTCAGATATTAATCCCTCTAGGAACCTTGGGAAATTTCATCTTCCTTTGTCCTCTTAGGTGGCCATGTTTGTGCTACAACTGGGCAGTGCCACATTCCTGCTCACGGAGCCTGTGATCAGTGCAATGACAACTGGGGCTGCCACCCATGTTGTGACTTCACAAGTCAAGTATCTCTTGGGAATGAAAATCCCATATATATCTGGACCACTCACATTCTTTTACGTGAGTTTTTCCATATGTTTTTGTTCATATATTTTCGGTGTATGTGTGTCACAAAGTAGAATTTGGTTAATTACGATACTGAGATTGTTTTTATATCAAAGTAACTTGGGCTTAAATATAGTCTTTTAGGATATTTTAAATGTGTTCTAGGGTATGAAACTAATTTAATCAGTAATATCTACTGATTTTGGAAGCAATTCTTTATAATAAACAATTGGATATAATATAATCTGGGGGAACAATTGGAAAAAAATCACGAATGTTTTTGTGAGCCAGATATGTTACCAAATTCTAATGGAAGCCATCTACTTGGTTTTAAGCCCAATTTAACAATAGTATGCTCTACCACATTCTTTCAACTCTACCACATTCTTTCTATATTGTGAGCCATGGTCTGGATCAAATCAGAGGCCTGGTCAAAATTGGTGTGTGGAGCCCCAATAGCAGACGATCAGTTATTAAAAGCAACTTGAACCTAAGAGAGGAACATGGGGCCTGTTTCAACATATTATACTAATAACACTCCATTGTCGTTGGTGTCTTTTTGAAGCTGACCTAAAACCTGTGACTGCTGAAGAAGTCACATTCTATTGGAGCTTTATAAGAAAATGAATGTCTTGTTAATGATCTTGAGAGCAACCAAACTTTATTTTAATTTTACATGTAGAGGAGGAAAAAGATCTTTTCCTTCTACTCTTCCAGGTTCTCAGCTGGGGCCCCTATAACAAAAGACAGATTAACAGGAGAAAAACAAACAGAAGTTTATTAATATGTATATCTCATACATACATGAGAGAAACTTAGGGATGAGCAACTCAAAAGAGGTGGCTAGAACTTAGGCTTAAATACCATCTTCACCTAAAACAAAGGAAGAAGGGTGTGGGGGAGGCAAGTTATGGGAAGGTGGCCAGGAAAAGTACAGAAAACAAGGGTAAGGTTTGTTATACAGATTTGAAGCGTCGTCTGTTGTGATTTAGAGTAACCCTTTTCTTCCTGCTTTAGAGAGGGAGACACCTTACAAATGGAGATTTCCTTTATAAATGTAAATTTCCCCTACAAAAGGGTAACTTATACTCTGTTTTCAGAGTTTCCCTGTGTCTGCTGTTCCTCAAAATAATAAACTCAAAATAATCCTTATGCCAAACAGGGATATTTTGGGGTGGCATATTCTGGTCTCCTAAACTGTAATACTGTAAATTAAATAATATCAATGCTTTATAATGAGAGTATTCTTATCCTTAATTTTCTTGATCTTAATGACTGAAAAGTAGCTTAATATATGGAAGTACAGAATTTATCTAATCTCTGTTATTGAGGTGGTTTGTGGTGTTTCACTATTATACACAGCCCCCCTTTCTTTGTATGTTATTGTCTGTGTCACTGATTATTTCATTAGAATAAATTCCTGTTACTGCCCAAGGGAGTCATCTGCCCACCACAAGACATGCTGATAGTCAAGAAGCAAGGTGGTAGGAGAGAAAGGGTTTTATTACAGCTTGTTAGCAAAGGGAAAGATGGCTGACTAATGTCTGAAAGAACCACCTTACAGAACAGACTACAGGCCAGTTGTGGGGGAGGGGGGCTGTTCTCTAGGTGCAGAGGCATCTGGTCCCCGGGTGGAGCAGACATCTCATCTTCAGTTCTTGATAATCTTTTATTTTACTGGATAGGCATCAGATGCTGGAGCAACACCCTATACCCATATCTTTCAGTTGTCATTGATGATGGCTGTCGGCATAGACTCTGCCCAGTGGTCATAACATTCCTAAGGAACTCGAAGGAACAAAGTTATCAACTTATTGCAGCCAGGAGGGGCCTTAAAGTCTAAAGAGCATGTCTATTTCATGGAGGGTGCACATCCAGCTGGGTTAGTTAATCAGACGCCATTGAAAGTTACAATATGATTTATTTTCTACAGTATGGCTTCCTTTATGTCAGCCTTGTGCTGAGTCAGTATCCTTCCTAGTAATGGAATTACTGGATCAAATGGGTATAATATTTTTGCTAAATTTCAATCTGAAAAGTTATACCAGTGAATATTTTATTTTCACCTTATCATTGTCAACTCTGATTATTACTGTTTTTAAAATTTGCCATTTTGGTATGTGAAAAATAGTATCACTTATTTGTTTAAATATGTGTTTCTCTGATTAATTGGTAAAGTAGTTAATAAAGATAGTAATGTATGCAACATGGAACTGGAAGCTGATTCTGAATTTTTGTTACTTAAGTAAAATCCTACTCAGTGACTCATTCATTCCAAGAAAGCTTAAAACTAAAACAAAAGCGCTGGAGCTGGCCTGGAAACAACATAACTCCAAACTCCAGATCAAACAAAATCCGAACAAGACAAAAGTAGCTGTAAGCTGTCAGGTGACTGGTTGAGGTAAGACTTTTGGTGACACCAGGTCTATACAACTGAACCAAATCTGTGCTAGATTCTGCCTTGAATAACTTCCTTATTTGTGCATGTGCCGTGTAAGGGAATGTGGGCAGGTTACAAATTGGCCTTTTCACTCATATTCACATACACAAGGTTATCCCTCGTTTCATTGTGTGTGTTAAAAGAAACAGGGTAGCCTGGTATGGGAATGACATGTAGTCTTTAAGCTGGTTTCTCCAGTGACAAAGTGCATAAAATGCTATATTAAAATGTTTTGTGTATGATTTCTTTTTTCTATTTTATTTTCTTGTGAGGTAAACCGTAAGCTACTTTATCTTTGCCTTGTAGGTCAAACACTGTGTGGCTTTTGCGGAGAGGTTTCTTTTGTAAATTTTCACACTGAAAAGAAATCAGATTTAGAAATATTTTTAGATCGGTGACTTTAAATTTATGTTACAGTGGTCCTTTGGTATCTGCAGGGGCTTACTGCCAGGACCCCCAGGGATACCAAAACCCAGTATGTTTAAATCTTTTATTTGGCCCTCCTTATCCATGGTTGCATATCTGCGGATTCAACCAACTGTGGTTTGGTTCAACGGAACCCACGGATATGAAGGGCAGACTGTACTCAGGTGGTGGAAGCTGCTATGCTTTGTGTTGATGGAAAATAAAGAAAAGTTGCTCTTGCTTTTCAGTGTCACTGTTAGGCTGCTAGATTAGAATGATGCTTTGGTTCTTTGTCAGGGTTTCAGAATGAATGCTGTTAAGTCAATGTCAAAAATTGTGGTGATCTGGGCATTAGATTAAGAAATAAATTTTGCGGCGCCAGCCTGGTGGTGCAGCAGTTAAGTTCGCACATTCCACTTCAGCGGCCCAGGGATCACCTGCTCGGATCCCGGGTGTGGACCCACCCACCACTTGCCAAGCCTGTGGCAGGCATCCCAATATAAAGTAGAGGAAGATGGGCACAGATGTTAGCTCAGGGCTAATCTTCCTCAAAAAAAAGTAAATAAATAAAAAAGAAAAAATAAATTTTGCATCATGCATAGGTTACCCTGGGACATTTGGGAAGTGAGTTTTGGTATAGTTAGGCTGAAGAATCTGTTGATAATGTAAATCTGAACTTGCCCCTGGATCATTTAGGTGGGATATGAAGGAGCAGAGCTGAGCTCAGCACAGAGATATAGAACAGAGGACAAAACAGAGGCCTTGGTCATCAGGTCAAAGAACCTAGAGGAGAGTCAATTAACACATTTTGGGGATTATTCACTCTTTGACTGTGCTTCCTGCTTCTGAGTTTTCACACTGTTATATACTTTTTGAAAGCTACTCAGGCTGATGAAAGATAATGTCACTGATATTCCTTGGGACATGAATTAATATCTACAATATTTGAGATTCTTGCACAATGAGCCATCACCACTCCTAATTGTCTCAGCTGGAACACTCATTTTTCTTGAAAGAATTCAGGTTTGGCCAACAAAAATGTCCATTAATTAATTCTCACAGTAGCAATCCTTACCAGCTACTTTAAGAGAAAACATAGCCTCTGCCTTTATCCTGTTCTTAGGGCACTGCAGATTGGGGGCTCTCCCTTCTGTCACTCAGACGATTTCCACAGTATGTTCTTCCTGAGGGATGTCTGATTCTGTACTACTGAGAGAATCTAATTCTCTAGTTTGAATAGCTAAGACCTCTATCACTTTGGTTGCTCTGGGCTAGCAGATGTTCTTGCCTCAACAAAATATTTTTAGGGAGCAATTTAAATCAGGTACAGGTACAGTATGTGCTCAGCTCTGCCTTGTCAGATTATAGAACAGGCTTCCAATAGGTCTTCAGAAATAGATATGACATAATACTTTTCTTTCTTCTGTGTCTGGCAGTCAGAGCACATGTCACCATTGCCAGCTAAACTCAGATGATTAGGCCACTTTTTCTCTTCTAGCAGAAAACTGTAAACCAGCTTCCTCATGTAAGGGGGCTCTCAAGAAGTGTTAAACCCAACTAAAGCTTTCGCTGGTCCTTTGAGTGTCTCTCCCAGAATTCCTGGGATCTGCATACGCGAAGGCAGCCACTGGAGCACTCTTGTGACCCACTATATTCCTAAGGAAAATGGATAGAATTAGGCCTAATTCAGCTTTTTATTTAGCCTTCCTAAATCCCTTCACATATAGTATTTTTCTTTTCCCTTCATTCTTCAAGTTTTTTCTCTAAATTCACATACTTCTAATAAAACTCTCTTTTAAAATTGTGGCCGTTTTTTTTTTCCTGAGGAAGATCAGCCCTGAGCTAACATCTATGCCAATCTTCCCACTTCATATATGAATCACTGCCACAGCATGGTTGATGCATGGTGTAGGTCTGTGCCCAGGATCTGAACCTGTGAACACAGGCTGCTGAAGTGGAGCACACCAAACTTAACCACTATGCCATGGGCCTGGCCCCTAAAATTATGGCCATTTCTTAATGAAATGAAAGTATTGCACATTCTTCTTCAGTTATATAATGAGTAAAAATTAGTGTTTTCTGAGTTAACTTTTAGCTCTGGTGATTTTCTTAAGGCCCATACAATCAGGTAGACACTAATTGATCTGTCTTTTCTTTTCCTTAGAAAGAG